TATAAAGCATAGTTGTCCACTCATATGTTGATAAGAGTATTAAAAACTTGAAAAATATCCCTCTAAGGTACATTTAGAACAGATAAAAAATGTGCGATTAATTTGCGATTAATCGCGATTAACTATGGACAATCATGCGATTAATCGCGATTAAATATTTTAATCGACTGACAGCCCTAATATATATATATATATATATATATATATATATATATATAATCACAATAATACAAAATGAACTGTCCCAGGTGTAGGCAATTTGGGGTGAAGTGTCTTGCCCAGGGACACAACGACATCCTGACTGCAGTGGGGTTTGAACCTGTGCTCCCCTGATCCGAACACCAACGCACCAGACCACTGCACCAGACCACTGCACCACACGCCTCCCAACAAGTCATTGTACAGTTTATCAACGACAAGTTTTTCTTAATTTTTGTATTGAAGGCCTGTTGGATTTAATCAGCTCGCTTAGCACTGCCAGAAGCCCAGCCAGAAAGGTATTTTGTTGCTCCACCTCGATTCCTGGGCCTTGTGTGAATGCAGCAGCCGTTCGTCGTGCATCTCCTTGGCACGATAGTAGTCCTGATGGTGTCCGCTGACCGGGCACAGGGTGTGGAGCTGCCTACTCTCAGCGGGGGGGAACTGAACGTGGAAACTGTGTTTCTCTGAGGGATCCTCCATGTAGTCTGAGAAGCCTTCTGAGGAAACAAGGTCAAACTATTTAGGATAATACAATGACAAGGAACAATGTTTAGGCAGTAAATAGAATTTCAATTACATTTCTACTTAAATGTGCAAAAATATTAGAACATCAGTCTTTGTGGCATGCAGGTAATCAATTGTTTAAGCTTTTACCATTAACAAGTAGAATGAATGTTGCAAATTACTTGAAATTATAGCAACTACAATGTTAGAGGTAACAATACAGAGGTAGCATTATGTCCAGCTAGCATGCTAATTGCTAACGTTATATTATCGTTTTATCCCGGAGGGGAAAACTAGTTTCTAATCCTGAGAGAAACACCTCGCCTGAAACACACGATTAGTGCCATGAGTTAGTGAAGCAAATTACAGAACATTGCACACTTATTCACAAGTCAAAACGTGTTCATAGCGGGCACGGCTGAGAATAGCTAGCTAGCTAGATGTTGTTAGCCAGCTTGGACCTAACGTTAGCAAGTTCTACCATGGCTAGCTCGATCTACTGAGCAAATAAAAGTACATCTAAGACCAGTATTGTGCAGATTAAAACAGTGCAGTGCATGTATTTTATTTTACCTTCGTAGTCGTCCCGACATGACTTTGCCAGGTCTGCTAACTTTGCTGATCCACGGAAACGGCATTCAGTAGAAATACAATACAAATACAATGGCCGCTTCCAAAAAAAAATTCAGAGTCAAACGGGCGTGGTTTGCATTCCGCACAGCCAATCAGACGTACGAACTATTTTCTCCCACGACAGTCCAGGGACTGTTGTGGGAGAAAATAGTTCGTACGTCTGCAGCTGCTACGTCTGCAAAGGGACTGAAAAGAACTCATTTGAGCTACTTTAGTTCCTGGGGCTTTTTGGTGTGAACGCAAATATATCGTAGTTCTGATGAACTATTGTGGGAAAAGTACACCGGTGTGAACGCACCTATTGTCATTTCACAGTACAGGTACTATGTAACGAAATTGTTTCTCTGCATTTGACCCATCCTAGTGTTAGGAGCAGTGTGCTGCCGTGGACAGCGCCCAGGGAGCAGTGTAGGGAACAGTGCCTTGCTCAGGGACACCTCGATTGCACTTGGTCTTGCCGGGACTCGAACTGGTGACCTTCCAGTTGCCAAGCCAAGTCCCTATCGACTTCGCCACCACCGCGAGGTTCCTTGGTTTTTCATTGTAGCAGGTCAGTTTGTTGAGTTAACACCTGTTAAGTTGATGCCATGTTTCTTTGAGGTATTTTCTGTTGACCTCTTTTATAGGCATAGTTATTAGAAATGATTGATTTATGATGTTTTCTGTGGACTTTTGGGAAAATAAAAAGCCCAGTTTATTTAAACCACTCCTGTGTCCTGTTGTTCATACCCCTTACTGTTTATTCATCATTCAATTCATTCTATATTTTATTCTGTAGATTGTGTACTTTACTTTTCACTTTACTGCTTTTTGTACTCCTGGTTAGAAGCTAAACTGCATTTCGTTATCTCAGTACCTGTAATCTGTGCAATAACAATAAAGTTGAATCTAATCTTGAGCAGGAACAAATGTATTTACTTAGTACAGGGGTCTCCAACCTTTCTTCATCTGAGAGCTACTTTCAAAAAATGAAAGTGGCCAAGAGCTACTTGCATCACATCGCTTACATTTATTCACATAGCCCTCATCAGTTGAATTAAGCTATACTTTTGTACACGTGTGAAATTGCAATACCTAAAGCTTATCAAAAATAAGGTCCAAGAAAACGAAGATTTCTCACATATTATTATGGCCCACATAATAAGTACATCACTGAACATTCACATAAGTGTCCTTAATCACCACCTTACAAGCATTTCACTCTTTTGTTAGTGAGATGAATGGCACTGCATGCAGTCCACCATAGAGGTGTATGCTGGACCCACTTAGGTTCACTTAATAGTCATTTAAATGTTCATCAGTCGGTCTTGTTCTGTATTTAGATTTCATTCATGTCAGAAAAAGCTGCTTCACAAAGGTATGTAGAACAGAACCAAATAAAGCAGACATTTTCAGTGCTGCTTGGTGAATGTTCTTATAGTTTTCTGGGTCTACAAGGCTCCAGAAATGTTGTGAGTTTTGCTGAGACTTAAGCTGAACATGATTTTGGAGATCTCCACAGGATTGACACTGAACAGTTGTTCAGCCATCTTTTTCTTCTTCTTCTTCGTCTTGACATTAAATTATAAACCATAATAAATCAATTGTATAGGTCTAGCCTCCCTATATCTGTGTGTGAAAATGGTTCCATCCTCAAAAACAAAAAACTAATACTTCTGCAGTCTAGCTGCAGCTTCTAGCTACGGTCTTCTGTTAAAAAAAAGACACTGAATGTCTTGAATGTGGCATCACACACAGGACTTGAGTCTGAACACAGCAGACAACAGGAGTATTTACAATAGCATTATAAAAACAAAAATAGTGCATGTGGGTGCACACTTACATTCTCTGTCTTACTGTTACATAAATCCCATGAATGTATGAGATTAAGTTAGCTTCATCATATCTCAATCAGTGATTAAGTGAATAATAAAGTTTCTATCGGGTCACTATCAGCCTGTCACTCATTATTTTCAGGGAGGGGGCGGGGTTTGGAGGAACAGAGGAGACGGTGATCGCGGAAGCTTTCCTCCTGCCTTCACAAACTTTACACAAGTATTTATCAACTGAAAATAGCAAGACATTCATACTCTGCAATCCAAGACTTGATTAAATCCACCAAAAACCTGACATGACGATAACGAGTGTTTTTCAAAAAACACAAATCCCTCCCTGTGTGTCTCTGAGGCGCAGCGACAGGGCCTGATTCAGAGCGGGTCATTCTGCTGTTAGTTCTGGACTGGTGTTGGTGGAGAAAGCAGATTGCTCCGTGTGTGGTGTTGCTGTGCTGCTGTCACGTCTGTTCCTTGGTCTCTGCGTCACCGACCATTTGATATTCGTGTGACAGAAAAAATTCTAAAATAAAAAAACGTTATTGTCCAGCCGCGGCCGAAAAATCAATAAGCAACCTTACTACGCTATAATCGATAATCGAGCGGCGAGCTACTGAAAAGCTGCCCGCGAGCTACCGGTAGCTCGCGATCGACGTGTTGGAGAGCCCTGACTTAGTACATATCTGACATTAACGATTAAACACATTTGTGCATTCTTTATAAATGCAAACTGGTCAAGACCACTGACGGAAGTAGTTTTGAAAAGTAGTGGTTCTGTCTTTTACCTGTAAGATTCAACACCCCTTGTATTGATTTGTTTTAAAATGAACAGACACTTGAGTCATTCATTTGTAGTGATATAATAATTGTGGGATTTCTATTGCATCCACTTCATCTGCAACGAAGAACGCCAACGCAATTTCCGCCATTGCAAACCGAGTCAAGCCGACTCCGAGCTGTCCGACTTCAGGCGAGCTTTTTGAGACCTCCCCCAGCTGCAATCGGCTATTCTCGTCTACTTTCGAGGCGAGCCGCAGCTCATCTCAAACAAGCCTATTTTTTCTGTTAACCATTTTTGTCCCTATAGTTTGTCGTTCGTTTTTGTTTATTAAATGTGTGGTGTGGACTTTCTCTTTGAAAACGCGTCACAGCCTATAGCCAAGCTTAGCCTCTCGGCGACTCAAACTGGACTGGGAATTGAGCTGCCACAATAATAATAAAAATGATTATTACCTTACTTTTGTCTATTTTTATTCCTCTGTGTTGTGTTTTTAAGGTGCAATGCCAAGACACATTCTTTGTATAAATCAGCACCACATTTGTAGTTCTTCCGGTTTGCAAAGACATACGGTCTTAAAAATATATATCTACTAAGTATATAAAATATCTAGTATAGCCAAACTAGTAATTACACTGCATCAAGATTATGTATATTAAGAAAAAGATGTTGGTTTATTTAAGATATTTTAGATATTTTAGCTATTCTAGAAATTGGGTTTTTCGGCTGGTTCTTTCTTTTTTGGTTACTGTGATCTTCTACAGAACATTGTTGGTTACTGTGATTATCTACACTACATTGTTGGTTACTGTGATCTTCTACAGTACATTGTTGGTTACTGTGATTTTCTACAGTTGGGACGTTACTACTGATATTTTTAAAGTAACTCCAGAGGTACTGTAATTTTTGGTTGGAAACACGGTATTGCACTCTAAATAGTATACAGTAATTTACTGTGCAAAACACTGTAAATAACTGTGGATTTCACAGCCATTTTTTACAGTGTAGTCAGAAAAAATGTCATAACAGGACTTTGCTTGATTGATGGATTTTATTTATGAATATAGAAGAAAGTGTAAACAGTTATTTCCATCATGGTCCTTGATGTTATAGATAAAGAGGACAGACAATCACACCTAACATGCACAAAATCCCTGATACAAAATCAACCAAAAAACAAGAACATCCTATAAATGAATAACAACATCAGGATGCAATATTATCTCTCTATCTGTATCTGTAAGATGTAATACTTTAGTGGCATTGTGACAGGGATAAGCAGCACGAGCAGATGGTTTTAGTGGAACAGGACACTGCTCAGCAGCTTGGTGACAAAGTTCAAATCCAAGCAGACCACCACCTGCAAAAAAGTTGGTTAATGGTTGTGTGACAAACCTTGTGAGTAGCAGGTGAAACAAATGGCAATGGGTCAAGGAGGATGTTAGGTGAAAAGGGTCAAAGTTGGTCATAAATAACATGTAATAGAAAAAGATATTGCAACAGCGGTGTATAAATAATAAAGGTCATGTTAAAGTGACATGGATGAGAAAACTGTGTTGTGTAAATCACAGGGAAGTGAAGATCGGTTTACAGCAGCTGATAAGAGTTAAACCCCTAGTGGTGCAGGGGGAACCATCACTCTCCTTTAGTTTGGAATGTGAACCTCTAAAGAAAAACACACACATACCCATAGTGTGTATAACAGGTGTTACAAATCAGAATACACATGGCATCAATGTGAACATTTACCGAGAGGTCAATCGAGGTCATTGGTGGTGGTGGAGACAGTATTAAAAATCCTTTACTTCTGCAAAAGTATAATACCACAGTAATACTCCATTAAAAGTAGAAGTGCATTAGAAATGTAAACTTAAGTTCAAGTATACAACAAATGCACCAACATTAACATATAGTATCACAAATAACATATTTCACAATTGGCCACATGAGACGCTTCTCTTGGTAAACTATATTACTGGATGATTTTTGGATCATTTTGAAGTATAATTATGTAACCTGTATTAATGTTAGCGATTCTTAAGGTGGACCTAATTTCAACTACCTCATAAACTCTATAGTTAAATCTGGGAGAAAAGATCATATTTCGTAAACTGCTCGTATGGTTTGTATTTTAATTGAAAAAGTAACTACACGTTAATAAATGTAGTGTAGAGGTATAATATTTAACTGTTGAATGTAGGGAAGACATGAGTCAAAAGGAAGTACCTCAGAAATGCACCTAATACTTTATTAATTGCAGTACTTAGGAGGAATCTATTGGCAGTAAATGCCAACCCGACTCCGGATAAGCGGTAGAAGATGGATGGAAGATGGATGGAATATAATGTTAATAATGTTTTCATAATTGTCACCTGAAAGCAAGAATAGATGAGTTTTTGTTACCTTAGAATGGGCCCTTTTTATCTAAGGATATAGGGTAACAGGCTACGCATTGAACTGGAAGAGCAGGTAAAGGTTGGAAAACTATGGGATTTTATTTACCAAAATAATGTACATTGTTTTAGGATGGGTAACAAAATCATTAAAGGTGAAACAAAAGGTTGATATATAAGATATAAAGAAATAGACCTTAGTTCTTTTTTAAGTGAGTAGTTTTTTAAGTAATATTTTATTTTGTATTTCAGAGATTTATTTAATATTTGACTTGTATGAGTATATTTCCTCCTGTTTACACCCTGTTTACACCCTGTTCCATAGCCACATAGTTCTGTGACACAGTATCAGAGTGTTATCACAATATTTGGTGCAAATAACAACCATTTTTGTCTGAAATATAATTGTTTTTTTCTATAATGACTTTTGACTCACACATATTAACTCAAGCAATGACTATTTTTCCTTATGATTACAAATGTCTTTTCTTTATATTATGATATAATGAATACATTATTATGCATTATCTAGGAATGATGATTCTCAAAATCAGGAAATTAAATCCTAACTTGTCCTACAAAACATTGAATGGTTGCGAAATACACTATGGTTTCATTTTAAATTCACGTTACACAAATAGGCCTAATGCATAGATTTTATAGCATTTATTTGTATGTATTCACTTCAGCACAAATATCCATGAGATGTTGGATTGACAAATGAGTTTATCCCCATGATGAAGCCTGTGACAGGGAGTCATCACTGGGAGTGAATTTCTCTAATCAGACCTCTGTGGGTCTGTTGGATGTAAATAGGAAAGGGAATGTGAGAGGACCAAACAAGGAAAGGAGACAAGGACGCCCCCCGACAGTGTTGGTTCGCGGCCTGCTGTATTTCTTCGACTCCATTCACCTCCATTCACACAGTAAATAAAAGCATGGAGGCTCTGACTCTCGGGATCTAATACCGAACAGCGGGGGGTAAGACACTGCCGCATGCGCTCTCCCTTTCACCAAAACACACAGGAAGGAAGCAGGAAAGCGACGAACGCTTTGCCACTTGGATTTAACCTGTTTTCCGTGGAAGAGAGGACTGTAGTCGGACACAGGAGCGGGGCAGCCCGCCGCGCTGAGCATGAAGCGGGCGGCTGTAGTGGCCAGGCACAATGGCCTCGTCTCTCCGCTGGGGAACAACAACTCCTCGAGCATCGTCTCCCCGCATCAGCAGAGAGCCGCTAATATCTCCGCTTCTGCCGACAGTTGTGCCGGCGTTGGGATGGATGGCCTGCTGGATTTCTCCAAAGGCCCCACCGTGAAAACGGAGCTGGTGTGTAAATGGATTGACCGAACTTCTTCGAGACAGAGGCTGGGGCGGACGGCGACATCCGTCTGCGAGCAAACTTTCAGCTCCATGCACGAGCTGGTGGACCACGTCACCACCGAGCATGTAGCAGCGGGGCTCGAGACCCTCAGTCATGTCTGCATGTGGGACGAGTGTCTGCGCGGCGGGAAGGCGTTCAAAGCCAAATACAAACTCATCAACCACATTCGCGTGCACACCGGGGAGAAGCCTTTTTCATGCGCATTTCCCAACTGCGGCAAGATGTTCGCACGCTCAGAGAACCTCAAGATCCACACGCGCACGCACACTGGTAGGGGTTCATGTTTGTGTGACTGCACACAGCGCTGTGATTCATAAAGTCATTATGGTCTGTACATCCGTGACACCCGTTCAGACAGCAGCCCCCCGACACACACAGAGAACACAGAGGCGAACAGAGACTGTTCCCAGTCTGATAGGAATCCCCTCCATGTTTACGTAGGCACAGTTCAGTACCATTTCCACATCCGGCCTTCACTGCTTCCTTATCTCCTTAAGGAATCACTGCAGCTCAGGAGTCATGCAAGGTGACAGGAAGCAGGACAAAGCAGCTGGATTTTAAACCAGGGGGGTGTGCAGAGTGAAATTGATTCCATGCACACTGCATAATTGTGGCTATATTTATCATTTTAATTCCAAGTCTGCATAGAAACAGTTTACTGGAGTTTTATTTATTTTTTACAAATACCCATAATCATACCCTATTTTGGACAATTGGTGCAGAATTATGTAAACTTAGGCAGTTTAAAAAGAGAATCACAGTTTTTGTCAGAGCGTGCACATCCTTTGTGTATGGGTTATACGCTGCAAGGTTGTGGTTTTAGAAAAAATAGAGGAATCACATGTTTTTTTGATAGAGTGTAAGGGAAGAGTGTTCATTTTAACAGCCTAGACAGTGACACAGTGATCATATTCTCAGGGTGTAAAACTCTCAGGCAACCAGGACACCTCAACAGAATAAATGTATTAACAACCTAATAACTACAACTTAACACTTAACACAATTATTTCAAGAACCCAACCGATCAATCATATTTGCAGATGCCTTTCTCACTGGAGATGAATAATACATGCTAGACACGATGTGAACCATCTACCCTCATGTTAGTAAGGTATAAACAGCATAAGTTACACCTTTATGAAACGCCACACATGAACTGATATTGAAACGGTCACTGAGGTAGGACTCATGCAGAGCTGTTACATTAGACAGCAATAGCTTTATTTAGGTGGATCCAATGAACAGCCAATAAAGTGTGTGTTTAGGTAAATGTGTTTTAGCTTTTTTCAATGTCAATTTGGTAATGAAACAATGCAGTGTTTAAATTGCTTAAAAAAACGCTTATTATTAAATTATATTTTCCAGAAAGAAAAAAAAAAACATACAAACAAAATACTGTACAATACTGGCATAGTGTGTATATGCATTACATAACTGAACATGCACATATGTGGTGTGAGGCTATAAATGAGACATTACATGGGAATATAGAAACACTACTGTTGCAGTCGACAGCTAAACAGAAAAAGGGACCACCTAGACAAAGAGAAGTACAAATAATAAGTATTCTAATAAATGAAATATATCCCAAAGATTTAAAGGCCCGGACCCACAAATATAATTATTAAAATATTTGTTACTCTTGGACTTTTTTAATGATTGATGTAAACCTTTTATTGGCTAGCTTGTATGCAGTTCAATGTTTGTGCTTCTGGCAACTGTAAAAATGATGAAATATAAATATAATATCATCATTTTGCAATCCCCAAGCAAACCTATTTATCAAAACCTTTTTTCAAAGAAAGATGCAAGTAGCGTGTTTCAGGGTTTCGTGTATTCTTAAAAACATATTGCAAGTTCTTTTGGACGTTTGTCAAATCTTAACGTCATTTGTAGGAAGATACTTTAGAGAACAGCACAGCTATTGTGCATTTTTTAATTACTCGAAACCTGTTAATCATAATGCATCCATTAAATGGTGTCACTAATTAACAGCAAGTATTTTTTTAATAAATATGATTAACAAAAACTACAATAAGTTTGCTTCTCGATAATGGAGGAACCAGAGGAGAACAATCCTATCTGTCTAAAGAGAAGTCTGTGCACGTTCTGAAATGCAACCTGTGAAACACGTGGCACACACGCAAGCCCTGTTACAGCCAATGTTATTTCTAAAAGCCAAAACACATTGCACTGCTGAAAACCTGGAGGCTGAACAAAGAAGCTATATGCGGTGTTACTGCTTAGTTTTAACCCTGATTATTATTAATATGGTTATTATAAGACTGTGTCAAACTATCTGTTGGCAGTAGAAAGCAGAGATTTGATAAATAATGTATTTAATGTATTGTTCAGAACTTCCCTAATGGTACTGTAAATGTCTAATAGACGATGCATCCCTATTACATAACAACAAACTGCATATGAACAGCAACATAAAACCTTTTCATTTCCTCCCTCCTTTAAGATCATGAATACACTTGCCTCTCACCTCTTTGAAGACATACCATTGCATTTATATTTGAACATGAGCCAGCTTTTTATGCATGAGAATATTCTAACATAAACACTCAGTTTGCCTTTTAAAGTCTATGGTATTTTCTGTCAATCTCATACTCATAGTACAATTTATTGTAAAACCAGATACCAATGTTATTAAGTTTCATTCCATTTTTTAAGGCCTACACATATACGTCAAGACTGCACCACTTTATACCATGGGTACTAAAGTAATTCAACAGTTAAATGAAAATACACTCAGGGTCATAAACTAGGTGGTTGAGGTGTCGCTTCAGCTGTAAACAAACAGCCCCCCCCCCCCTTAGTGGTGTGATAATGGTCCGTGTGATGTTTGTGTTGCAGGTGAGAAGCCATTCCAGTGTGAGTTTTGCGAGCGACGCTTCGCCAACAGCAGCGACAGGAAGAAGCACTCCCAGGTCCACACGGCCTCCAAGCCCTACGACTGCAAGGCCCTGGGCTGCACCAAGTCCTACACCCACCCCAGCTCCCTGCGCAAACACATGAAGGTCCACGTCAAGTCGTCCCCTACCTCTGACCCCCAGGACATGTACGACTCCATCTCTCATCACCTCCAACAACCTCATCAGGCTCTCCTGGAGCCCCTCGACCTTAAAATCAACCGCCACTCCCCCTCCCATGCCAATTTTCACACTCATTTCCCTCTTGTGGCCAAACACGAGTTGGATCTCAGCCCTGCCAGCGACGTTGACAGTAAGCTGCTGCTGCGGAGCTCGTCTCCCATGGCGATGCCTCTGGATCTGTCTCTGTCGGGCCTGAAGAGTCAGCTGGCCCAGAGGCAGCAGAGTGGGAGGACCCCCCGCCGGAGCCAGCGCTCCGTCAACCCCGCCTTACCTCAGCTTTCTAACATTAAGGAGTGGTACGTGTGTACCAGGAGTTCAGTACCTCACTTCCCTCTACTCCACCCTGACCACATCAAATCAGAACCTATTGATGACGAGGAGTATGTCACGTAGGGTAGAGGGGCTGGTGAGTTTGGACTTGAAGAACATGTACTGTCAGACCCAGGTCAGGCCAGAGGAAGCTCTGTGGGATCAAAGGTTCTGTACATTTCAGGACCAGCAGCTGTATGGTTCAACATGAGGGCCCAGAGTAAGCTGTGGTCAGAGGGAGAACTTTTTAACTGTCTCTAAAACAAAACTCAGCTCGGCCATCATCACTATCTGTGGACCAAAATCAATGGCGGTTCTAATGTTGCCAGAAGGGACAAGAGTAAATCCATCGTCATGGTTATCAAACTAAATGTTTGACAAAAACTGCGAGCTGTCCATCAGTGTTAGCTAGCTAACCTGAACTAACTAAATGGGAGGACTGTGTACAAATGGACCAGGGGATGCTGGGTACTGCTCTGCTGGCTGTTGAAGGATAGGTGTGTACATGATGAGGGAAACAGATCATTGACCAATTTATCTGAGAGCTTCACCTGGATAAAGAATAGTCAAGGGCTACATCGACACTGATGGAAAGCGCTTATTGTTAGCTTACGATAGCTCTGTACACATGGTAACACAGCAGGTCCCAAACAGCAGGCGTACAGGGTGGAGCTGAGTGTTAGGCATCAGTGTGTTTTGAACAAACTAGTCCGTCAGATAGTTACACAAATTGATGAAAGCAGCTTTTATCTTCTGTCAGAAACAGGTTTCATATGCTGTTGTGTGATCCAGAAAGCTCTTTGTTTGAAGCAAACAGGCCTTAACTTACCAAACATTGGTAATAACAAAAGTATTTAATGTGATGACTAACCCGACCCAGTAGCCAGCCGTGAAGCTGCAGTTTGAAGACAATAGAAGTGAACCTCAGTGGCCCTCTCTGTTGGTTAGGCCCCTGCCCTGTTTACACTCCATGTACCATTTAGTCAAGACCCCAAGGTTTGCAAAATTACCATGTACACATATTCCTTTAACATGTGTATTAAGTGAAAAACATGTAGTATTTCCCTGTGATGCAGCCATAAAAGGTGGATCTTGGGTTTGAAAGCAGAGCATCAATGAATCTGGGAACCAAGCAGAATGTAATGTATGAGATTGTGGTACAGCTTGGAGAAAAAAATGTCATCCATTTGAAGCAACTGCATTGAGAAAACTTTAAATGGTTGATAAGTGACTTTTACTAATGTACATTATCCATCCACTAGTAAGTCATTTCAGGCTGGATTTGGACCTGGGATAGGAGAGCTACCTGACACAGATAGTTTAAGTTAGTTTGGAAAAATGTTTTTAACGTTCATCTTTGGTTTCTATTCCAAGTCAGTTTGGATAACGTTGGGGTTTGTTTAAATCCTTATAATCACCCTTTTCCCAAGTTAGTAACTTGATGTGTACATTATTATTACTGATAGGACTGATGGACAAAACTGCAAATAACACCCAAGTTGAATAAAACAGAATTTCCCTTTAAACAATATAAATGATTTGAGAATGTAATTTTCAGTTTGACTACTGACAAAACTATTGAGCTAATCAGAAGTGCACGACAGAATTGTGTAATTGAAGTTTCAGCAATAATCTGTAGATATGAGCAAACAACTACCCAGTTAGGGCGTTATTCACATGATCTTCAGAGTGGAGCGGTGGTTTGCACCGTCACCTCACAGGCAGGACTTCCTGGATCTGAGTGGAGTGTTCTCCCACAATCCACACACACAAGTCAAATTCATTTGAAACTCTGAATTACCTGAAGATTTTGTTGGAAATGAAGGTGATGTGAAATTACTACTGCCTCTTCCGTTGTGATTATTAACAAGGCTCATCAGATTTGAAGAGAACAAAGGCTAAAGTTACGTTTTAGGTCAAGAGATTAACATGGAATGCCATTTTAATACATAACATAAACTCAGTTCAGTCTAACCCGCCCTTCACTACTTCCTTGTTCCCTTGAGGAATCACTGTAGCTCAGGGGTCATGCAAGGTGACAGGAAGCAGGACAAAGCAGCTGGATTTTGAACCTGGGTGTCCAGAATTAAATTGATTCCATGTACACAATCAAATTATAATTTTATTTCCCATTCTGCATAGTACTCCATTTAACCTAACCTGCATGTCAGTACACTGGGAGGATGTTGGATAAAAAGCCACACTGATGGGAGAACATGCAAACTCCTAACAGAACCTGACGATGTGAGTGCTAACCACTGCACCTCTGGAAATATTACTTCTGAAAATGACAAAAGCCCACTTACTGGCTCAGCTTTCATCTATGACCATGAGATGTTCTGAAAAAAGCTATTAATGGCCCAGGGAATAAGATGTATTCACCACTAGCTGAACTGCTGAGGTGATGTTTGTGCTCACGAGACAAATGCTTTCTTCTAACCACAAGCCAACTAAATCAATCCTGGTGCTAAGTCTAATTATTAATTGACTTTAGGGATGAATCTGAAATGTACTGCCCAACAAGCTGATTGTAAGTTAGCATAGGCCGGTACCCATATAAGGACCCATCTCCACTCTGCTAACAGTACTGATGCAGGCAGAGAGAGTCAGCAGTGAGTCACAGAAACGAGCAGTCAAGAGATACAAGACGAGTATAATGGATTCAAGGACTCTGTCACAAACAAACTGAACGTGTAGTACATAAGTTAACAAGTATATTTATTTGTCTGTTTTTTTAAATTATTATTAAACGTAGCCCACGTTACTGGTTGGAGGCACTAGCAAGTTTCTGGTTACTTACTAACGGTGAGTAAAGTTGCATTTTTCATGCAGGTCCACTGGTTTACAGCAAGAGTCACATGCAGTCCTCACAGAGCAATACAAAAAAAAATCTATAATGACTTTCTCATTGAGTTGTTTTTCTCATGCACATGAAAATATGTAATTTGTTAAATAAAACATTTAAATCTTGATACCTTCGCAGTCTTTTTTCAAACACATATGTAGCAGTTAACAATATTTTACAAATGGGGTTGTGACAATAGAGATAACATTTTTTTGTTTGACTACACAATGTGTTTGTCATTTATAACTCAACAACAAACCGCTAGAAAACGTTACGCTCAACACTATATGTTTCCATAGTAACACATTGACACTGACTGACTGTTTCTGTGTTAAGTTTAAAGGTAAAACATTAGAGAAAAGGCTAGTGTTTAACTAAACCTTATGGTGAAACATGTCCTTAGAGTTCGCTGAAATTGCCTGTTTTGGTAGTATTGTTATCTTTGTGGCTTATCTTAGGTGTGTAGAGTACCAAACATATACGCCACATTAATGGGGCCCTATTCTGCTCCTTTTCAGGTTCATATTCATATTTAGTGTCTCTACTGGGACATGTCTCCATGCTTTAATGTTCAAAAAGCTCTTTATTTGTCTCATACTGCCTGTGCTGCAGCACCTCTTTTCACCCTCTGTCTGAAACCAGAGCCCAGTCTGCTCTGATTGGTTAGCTGGCCGGCTCTGTTGTGGTCAACCACTTATTGATGTTCCGCCCCTTAGCCTATAACGTACAATGTGTTTGAAGCACAAGCCAATAGAAGTGCAAGTGTTGAACACAGGGATTTTAGTCTTTGCAGACCATTTAGGCCTACATGCACACAAACCTATAGAACACACTACAGGAGAGGGAACACCCCATAAAGCATAATAGGGCCCATTTGAAACATGATAGTGAATTATTAAGTGTTCGTGTATTTTATTGTATTAAAGGTGGGGTAGGTACGTTTGAGAAACCGGCTCGAGATCGCTAGAATTTGAAAATACACAACCGGAGAAAATCTGCCACTTCCTTATAGAGCCCCTCCTCCAACACACACGAACGCGCACATGACCAATGAGGGCACGAGATAAGTTTGTGCACAGATGGAAGGCTGACAGGCAGGTAGGCCATCCAGTTATTTTAGCCGGGCCGGCTAAAATGATTGGGCGTGCTTTTTACAGTATTACGGCTTCCACAGATGACATTTTTTTATGGATTTTTTGTCAAAGCACTTAAGATATTCATTGCTATCGGGATGTTAAGAGCATTCCATGGAATATAACAAAAAGTGTATCTCGAGCCGGTTTCTCAAACTTACCTACCCCACCTTTAATTAAATATGGCGTATACGACAACATCAAAATAACACATGACCTTCTCATGCTTACTGTCTGAAAGGAATCTGTTGTGGCAGCTGTCTCTAATTGTTTTTTATCAAGTAGGCTACGGAGGAAGAATTAATTACACAGAACAGCTGACCTGAGCTGGCCTTCTACTTAATATACAAACCAAAGGTTTGTATATTATGGCTGTAACACTAGGAATATGTGGGCGGGACTAAGGACAATGACTGACTACAAAGGAGCAGCGGGGGGTGCTGCGGGAGTGTCTGCGTGCACATCTCTCCCAGATGAGCTGAACAGTTTTTTTGCACGCTTTGAGAGCAGCCGGGCTGTGGAGGTACAGAGGGACCAGGAGCTACCCTGCCCTTTTGTTTTAAATAGGGCAGATGTGTGTAAATCCTTTAAAAGGGTTAACCCACACAAGGCTCCTGGACCTGATGGCATCCCTGGCCGTGTTCTCAGGGTGTGTGCAGTTCAGCTGGCAGAGGTGTTCACAGACATCTTCAACAGGTCCCTGTTGCAGTCTGTAGTCCCCACATGCTTCAAACATTCCACTATCGTTCCTGTCCCGAAAAAGACAATAATCACCTGCCCCAACGACTACCGCCCAGTAGCACTCACCTCCACCATAATGAAGTGCTTTGAGCGGTTAGTCAAATCATTCATCACCTCCTCCCTCCCTGAATCTCTGGACCCCCTGCAGTTTGCCTACAGAGCAAACAGGTCCACAGACGACGCCATAGCCCTCACCCTCCACACTGCCCTCTCACACCTGGACCCGAAGAACAGGAACACATATGTGAGAATGCTGTTCATTGACTACAGTTCAGCATTCAATACCATTGTGCCCTCCAAGCTGGCCATCAAGCTCAGAGACCTCGGGCTCAACAGCGCCCTCTGTGACTGGATCCTGAACTTCTTGACGGGCAGACCCCAGGCAGTGCGGGTGGGAAACATCACATCCTCCACCCTGATTCTCAACACCGGTGCCCCTCAAGGCTGCGTGCTCAGCCCTCTCCTCTACTCCCTGTTCACCCACGACTGCGTGGCCACACACAGCTCCAACACCATCGTGAAGTTTGCTGATGACACGACCGTCATCGGCCAGATCACAGACGATGACGAGACGGCGTACAGAGAGGAGGTCGAAAACCTGACATCTTGGTGCCAGGATAACAACCTCCATCTCAACATCAGCAAAACAAAGGAGCTGATTGTGGATTACAGGAAGCAGCAGGGAGAGGGACACGCCCCCATCACCATCAATGGGACTACGGTGGAGAGAGTCAAAAGCTTCAGGTTCCTTGGGGTCCACATCACTGAAGAAATCACTACGGATTATCAAAGACCCCCATCACCCCAGCCACAAACTGTTCTTTCTGTTGCCGTCTGGCAGACGTTACCGCAGCATCCTGGCAAGGACAAGAAGATTCGGAGACAGTTTCTTCCCGCGGGCAGTGAGACTGTTAAAAAATTGAACTGTTGAAACAACTTCAAACATTCATCTGCTACTCAGTATTATGTATCTAATACCTAATATATATATATCATTCCAATAACTTGTATATAGACTTGTACTGCACTATTCCACATCATCACTTTATTTTATAACTATTTTTCTTTTTGTATTGCTCTTGCTCTTATTGTTATTATGTTATTATGTTGCATTGTTGGAGAAGCCTGTGACATAAGATTTTCAACTACATAATTACTCTGTAGCTATGTCAGATTGACAATAAAGAACCTTGAACCTTGATTAAGTATACCAGGGAGAGTTGTTTGTATTGCAATACGAGTCTACATTTAAGGAGAGAGAGAGCTGACAGTTTTACAATATATTTGTTACATTGGAGCATCAAAGTGTGTCACCAATAGGTGTTATTACAGTTATGCTCTGGTTCTGTCTTCAGCCCCAGACTTTTACTGGTTCAATACACTTAAACTTCACAGCCCTTCAAAATCCTCCAAGTTTTTTTCAGATTTGGTAAAAATATACAGTTTGTCGGGATACACAATCCTCAAAAGCAGTGGTTCTCAACAAGGGAGCCAGGAACCCCAGGGTTCCTTGAGGGAGTTCAAGGGGGTCCTTGGAAAACAAGACACATTTTATTCTCAATGTTTAATTCAATATTAAGTGAGCCCAATGTGATTAAGAGTCATGATGAGAGTATCTATTTTTTTATCACAGGTTTCACTTTATCAACGGTTATCTCCTAGACTGTAGATGACAAACTACAATTCTGGTCTTAATCATTTATAAGAACAATCTTTATTTTATTTTAGTCTGTATTGAAAAATATGTCCTTGACACAGACATGTTTAGAACAACTGCTCTAAAAGATAAGCAAGTTAAGCTATTCAGTAGGAAATACAGTTGGAATGTACCAGTTACAGACCTTCATTCTAGAATTGGAGGACAATTTAGAAACACTTTTGAAAAATGAACCTTTTATTTTATTATTTTTTGTTATGTATTTAGGAAAAACAGATAATAAACCATCAAAAAAAGTGATTTGCCCAGCTAAGGCATCAAATACACTTTTTATTAGATGTTTTATTTGTTGTGTGCCATGCTTTTTGCAATGGCACTTATTTTCAAAAATATTCTTCAATACAATTGTTTACTATCAAGTAAAGAAAGTCACATTTACATTAAATACTCATGTAGTTTTTGGATAAAACTGGTTTAATTTAATTATTTTAATAGAAAATGATAGTAACAGGGTTGAAATTAGAGTAACTGGGTTGCGTAAAGTAACAGCGTTGAATGGCTACAGTACTTTTGATTGTAGATCATGACATAAATGAGACAAATAAATACTCAGGACCACAGAAATGTTGTTTGATAATATTTTATATATATTTTCCAATGAAGAATCAACCCTGTTATTATTATATATTAGACTTATAGTAACAGGGTTGCAAGTAACAGGGTTGCAAATCAATGCTAATTGTAGCTTTTATCTCAGGAATTAATGCTAACTGCACAATGTAATGCTATTGTCAAGGAATGGACACACTTAGATATGTAACTAAAGAAAGATATTGAGCAGGATTTGAGTAACAGGGTTGCGTTTGTATGAGTGCCACACTCCTTCAAGAGTGACAAGATTGGAAATATAAAAAATAAAAGAGAGGACTTACTTTTGGTCTACCCATGGTAGTAGCACATGGCTTGCTGATGTCCTTTCCACTGTGTCATGTGACAAACAGTTTTTTCACTTCCTCTGCCAAGCTAAAAAGGTTTCAGTAACAGGGTTGCGCGCATGTTGTGGGACACACTTTCATTGTAAAATTACTGTTATTTAAAATATATTTATGATTTAACAAATTGATTTGACCAATACAACAGAAATATATCAAAAGAATAATACCAAAGAAAGTAAATAAAAACCCTATTTTAAATGTTATATTTGACATGAAAGTTGGTCACCAAGAAGCGGGGACAAGAGAAAAATGCCATTTTAGAGGATGTTCGAGAGCTATTTGATATTTGAAATAATATTTTGAAACCACTTTTTCTACAACTTTATATACATCTTGTCTCAATACAAGTATATTTAACACAACAAGTGCATGTTTTAGCTTTTTGGGCATGGATTATTTGATTTTTTATATGGGGGACATGAAATGTCCTCCAATTCTGGAATGACCACTCCACTGCATCTTGGCAAGGAACAATTGTGTGGCAAAGAGAATTGGCCCTAAAACTAGCTAAATGTCCTCTTGATTTGCTCAGTTGGACGAAATCAAATGCATTTTCTCAACCAAACAAAGAATGTGGACTTTGTTCCATAGTGGAAATG